GCGGGGAGGGGCCAAGGCGCAGACACCACCAATAGACAGGGTCAGCGGGTTATTTAACCACTGCTACGACAGAAATAGTTGTATTCAAACTATATTTTAGGTCTGAAAATGTAAGTTCGCTTTAGTCAAAAAACTGTGCTTTTACGCACAATATTTGGATGCTGCTTTATTTCCCATAATTCAGGCTCATTCAGCTAAACCAATGCTTAAAGTTTATGGTCTAACACCTGAAACTACAGATTTTTGTTTATGATTTTATTTTAATTGCTCTTACCGATGTCCTGGCTGGGAGGTCATAACAAGCATCGGTCCGGGCTCTCGTCACGTCGCAGTGAATCAGCATTGACTGGAGTTCAAACTTGTTAAATAAATGAAGGGAAATAATACATCAGCACAATATCACCATAACATATGTACAGTACCGCGCCCTAGACCTGGAACAAGTGTGTTAAAGCTCCACACCCCTGTATCGCCACAGCGTCCCAAGATCAAGAGGCTGTTTCAATAAATAACATTAACAATAAAACCAGGCTGTTTGCACAATAATTGGTACTCATGATGGAAACATTCCCGTAGGCTTTAAAAGCTTATATACAAGTTATGATGCAGTTAAAGGTGTTAAATGTGAACTCATATTAGGATGTGCTTTCGTGCGTAATTGTGCAGAGCAAAGACTTCTTTGGAAACCATCCACCACCTGAGATTCGTGGTGTAATGCTGTAGGATGGTTTTAGCCTGTGCACAGCTCGTTTTCTTCACCAGAACCTGCAACAAATTCCACATATTTGTCGGCAAAGCCTGAATGGAGAGACAGCGGGCTTAAACTGCCCAACATTGTCACAGACAAACCAAAGGGGAGGGTGAGAAGAAAAGACAGGGATTCCTAAACGTTTGCATGTCAAGGATTCCTGAGGGGAACAAGTAGAAAGTCCTGAGCCTATAGCACATACAGTGTCACATTTGATAGTCTTTGTTTTCACAGAAATTAATTAGTTAATTTAACTACTGCTGCAACAACTTGTACGCGATTTTTGATCGGAAAAAAATATACCCTTCAAAGGAGGATGTACTTTAATGTGAATGGACAGACAAACAGGGGGTTCCACTTTATAAAAAATGAAGGAAACAATACAATTGGAGCAAGATTTTTTAAATAATGAGAAATAATTATGTCATTATATGTTAGTCAGTCAGAAAATATGCCACACTGGTAAAATCTACAGTCATCATATGCTAGGATATCCAGGGGCCGTTTTGGGGCTCTGAAAGTGCCTGAACTTTATTATTGTTGTAAGATTTCAGAAACTTATATGTCTTTCTTTAATTGCAAAGGTTGTACTCAGTCCTACAAGAAACGTACCGGAATTGCCACCACTGGGTTGTCCTTAAGCTTTCCTATCAACGTGAAGCCATCCAGACTGACTTTTTGTCGGGGTGGTGTACTCTGAGAACCGATCAGGACACAGTCCACGAAAAGGGACACGGAGCCCCTGCTGACGTCAAGCAGGACTTTGTGCCACTGCTCATTGAAAAGAAAAGCCAGGGGGCTGAAGACAACTGTCTGCCTCTCTCCGGTGTCCAACGCTGTGAAGGTAAACTCCAGTGACTTAGACTCCCCGTTGAGCCTGACGGACAGCTGCTCATTGCCATTCACATCCTGCATTTGCCAGATATTCCAGTTCTTATTGATGGTACTGCCACTCATGCGCAGAACGGCCACAAATGCGAACTCCTCTGGCAGCCCCAGCGGATAAGCTGACCTAAAACACAAGGGATGGGCTCCTTTTAAACACCCAGCTTACATCTTTGATTAAAAATCTATATTCTAAGTAGGATTTATGAGGATACTCTGCTGTGTGCTGGCCATTAATCGTCCACTATATTGTGTTTATAACGGTTAAATTATCACAATAAACGTCATATTTGTGTAATATCTTAATAAATGATGTTAATGAAGGAATGTGATGGTGCAGATAAGGCCAGTGTTTGATGTTCAGCACCATGGACAGGGTGAATGGTGTTATGCCAGCTCAGCCACAAGGTGTCAGTGTTCACTCATACAACTCCATTTAAAACGCCCTGTAGCTTACCTTGTGTTGATTCTGAAGTTGAAGGTTGGGCCTATTTGATAAGCAACATGCTGAGGAGATGATCCAGGAACCTTTTTAACAGTGCCCCTTCTTGCCAGCTCAGCAATGTGGAACTGGGACATAATATAAAAGCCTAAGTGTACNNGGGGGGGGGGGGGGGGGGGAAGAGTGGTTAATTACAAAATCATCTTAGAAGTCATGCAAGACCTTGGGTAGATCCTATGATGAAAAACCTAAAATCTTATTACGGTGTTGCTATAATGTTTCTTTTGAAAATAGACTTATATTATGTAGTTCTTTTCTTTATGCAGTGGGGAGGGCAAATGTCAAGCAAAAAAAAAAAGAAAATCAAACTGTGCTTAGTTTTTGTGACTCCACCTGGGAAATGATCCTCCCCGACGCTGATCTGAGGGCACATGGACTGCTGCTCCCTATGAATACCAACTTGAGATGAAAATCTCACAGCTGCAAGATGGAAACAGAAAGCAGCCGGTTAGTAGTCGAAGAGTGTGCGTGTGTGTGTTGTGGGGAGGGAATAAAAGCTCAGTGTTTGGAAAGCTGCACCACTGCCTTGAATAAATATTAGGCTATCTCTTACTGTTTGTGGTTTCCTCTTTAACACTTAAGCTCTAGATTTTCCTGTTTCACACATCTGGGCAGGAAGTTAAAGGTCTTTATCAAGTTTGAATAAATGGTTCACATATAACACAGCATTCCTGTCTCCATTTCCTTTCTCCAGCCATTACATGAAACATCTGACACTGTTCAAATGTATGACTCGGGTTGATACTGTAATATTATATTTTGATGCTTTGTCATTATTATATTGTTAGATCATTTTATTCAGTATTACCGTTTAGTGCACGGTTGGATCTATATAAGGCGCACAGCTGGACTCCCTAACCCAGCAATGTTAGTGCTGCTACACAGACCCATACAGGATATGTGTCATAAAATATAGATAAGAGCAGCAGTGTATATGGAGGGAAGATAAAATAATGTAAACGCCTCATGCAGTCATATAATAAGTGCCTTATATTCAGGAATAAAAGAGCTCTGCAACATGAAACAGCCAACAGAGAGCCATAGACCTTGTTCTACATGTATTAAAGAAAAACTGCACTGCTACTGCAACTGCAATACACATGCAGAACAAATGAAACAAAACATGCCAAGCACAGAGAAACTGTTTAATTTAAGACAAACAACAGTCACAAGTAGAAACTAACCAGTAGAACAACATATAGAGTGTGGTGGGTTGACAGATACTGATAACTGGCATGCAAGAGGACATGACTCACCTTTGCAGCAGTGCACTGCACCGGTAATTCTATTACTTCAATGCTGAAGTGTTTTTTTTTTTATGGAACGTTCAAATTATCTTGTCTTCCTTTGTCATCGTTATCTCAACTTTTGCACCTTGCAGTGCAGAAGACTACTTACTCTGAGAGTGAAGTCCTGTGCAAAGGTACTGTGGGATCACATAGCAGCAGCACAGTGTGTACAGAAGGATATTCCTGGAATGTAATCAGAAAAAAAAACCCCATATCATGCATTTTGTGTGAGAAATGTATGTGTTTGCATTTGGCTGTCTTTATAGAATTAAAACTATAAGGCAATACTGGAATCAATTACATGTTGCACACGGTCACAACTCAGTAAATGATTTACCTTTTGACTGCACCCATTTCATAGCTTGATCTGGAAATGAAAATAAAATAAAATAAAATAAAAACACCTGCTGCTGGATGTTTCTACAGATGGGCTTCCTGGAGAGAACAAGACCCTGGTAAGTTGCTTCTCCAGCAGGAGTGGAAAACTTCAGGTCACAGTGAGGGGTCTCTTATAGGCTTGACTGTTGTCATTTATTTGGGGGAGTGAGTCAACAGTCTCCACAGTGTCAACTTTACATTCCACTGGAGTTCTCCTGCACCCACCTTGGATTTAATGTTAATGTTTCTTCAAGTGCACAATCACGGTATTGTCTTCCATTTGTATTTTCATGATTGCAGACCATAAGGAATACTAAGTAAATTAGCTGTGAAGAAGCTGTTATCCTGTGGTTGCTTTATTTGCCCAGCACTCTTGGGATCTACATTCTTTGTGCGTTCTATGGTTGCACAGTATTCAGACAGCATTGTTTCCAGTGCAGTCCAAACTGAGAATCAAGAGACGCTGACTAAGAAGCAATCCAAGCTGTGTTTGCTCTGTCAGACTGAGAGGCAAACTCATCCTTTTTTAAGGCAATTCCTGGAACAAGGTGAAGGACTTTACTGTGATACATCCAAAAACAATGGAAAGACATTGTGTTGATTACCAGGAAGCCCAGCTTTCAAACGTTTTTGGAAATGTTAGTATGGGGAAATAACAAATGAAACTGCTAACTGTACATGAATGTCCCTCCCTCACATTTTCTCCCTATATCCTGCTATTTTTCACTTGTTTCAAGTTCTAAATTGATTAGGCCCTTTAGAAGAACTGATTACTTATATTGCACTTATTACACCCATAAATCACTATACATACTGTAGGGAACAGCACTAAAGTCCTCTTTTGTTGGCAGGTTGGCAAACAATTCACAGCAGTAAGAAAAAAACAAAGCTCAAGACACAAATAAATCACAAATAAATACACCTACACAGCCTTACCGGCCTACCCAATGGGCCTACAACCTTGGATAGTAGTGGTGATTCTTAAACA